TTAGAGATAACTGACAGTTGACTGAGGCAAGCTATCAGCCAGAAGGCCCACGCCTTCTTGACTGGATGGATCACTGGGACATTGAGACGAGAACCGCATCCAGCGCAGTATGCATTTTTGCAGCAAAGTGCATATCAGTCACAGTCACCTGTCCCTGTCAACCTGAACCCTTTTCGGCAGACCGCTCCGCGACCAATCCGCATTGTTCAAACAGATGGTTCACATCATGATGCAGCAGATGTCGAAGATGATGCAGAATGTGTCGTCATGCGAGAGAATGGCATTGAAGTGGAGCAAGACTTGCAGTGAGTTGCTGGAAACAAAGTGTAAAGCTGCAGCAGCATTTTCTTGGAGCTCCTAGTTGGAAATAACGTTGCTGTAAACCTCACAGCTCCTAGTGTCATGTTGTTTTTTGTTCCTTCGATGATGAACCATTTTCTTGCGCAGGTTTCGGGCTACATCTGACAGTCTTCTTCTCAGCCAACTGTCTCCTGTCTAGTGGATTTTTTTGCGCCTTGCTTGTTCTCAGGTGCAAACCTTGGGTGTCACAGTCTTCTGTCACAGTTTTCTGCGAAAACGAAAAAAATCGTCTACGGGAAACTGACAGCTCAGGGGACAGGGAACGGATACTTGACAGGTGACAGAGATTGAAATCACGAGGCTATATGACAGGTGACAGGTGACAGAAATCATGAGGCAGAACTAATATATAATATATAATATATAATATAAAATATATAATATATAATGTTCCTATAGGCTCAAGATATTTAATGTCTAAATGGTAGTAGTCAACCTGAGTAAAAAAAAATGATAACTGCACCTTGATGGCAAGGCTTGCAAGGGCATCTTGGCTAGGACTTTCCATACGGCTGATAACCTCTGATGGCATTAAATACTTGCACCACTTGAAATGAAGACCCAGGCATTTGCAAGGGCATCTCGGCTGGAACTTTCCATACGGCTGATAACTTCCTGATGGCCTTAAGTAGCACCGTAATAATAGGAGCTTTTGGCATGCCAGGGCCACAGTGAAAGCACCAAATGCAAATGAAATACCCAAATGCCCTGGCACTGGCTTTTGGGTTTCCAAGGGGTTTCCTGAGGGGTTCCTGACAGGCGGCTGAAACGGTGGGTTCGATTCCCGGCTGATGCACACTGTTCTCATGAGTTGGTGAGAGCGGGTAAGGCGGTGAGGTGAGGGGCGAGCACAAAAAGCAGAGACTGACAGTCACATGACTGCCTGGACTGGAAGGCAGCTGACTCGCAGATTTTGCAGCAGACACCCTGCTAAGCCGATGGGGTCTCCCCGCGTGGGTTCGAATCCCACAGGTGTCGGCTTGTAAGGAGTGGTGAGGGTTGATAACAAGCCAGAATACACCGTTGCCATCGATGACCCGGGTTCGGTTCCCGGCTGATGCACATTGTTCTCATGAGTGGGTGAGAGTGGGTGAGATGGTGAGGTGAGGGGAGGCCACAAGAACCAGAGGTTGGCAGTCACCGTCACATGACTGCCTGGACTGGAAGGCAGCTGACTTGCAGATTTTGCAGCAGACACTTTGGCCGCGGCTAAGGCGTCGGCCTGCTAGGCCGATGGGGTCTCCCCGCGTGGGTTCGAATCCCACAGGTGTCGGCTTGTAAGGAGTAGTGAGGGTTGTTGCCAAGCCAACGGAAGTTGAGTCAGTTCCAGGTGGCATAACATCTTCAGCGCAACCCGGGTTCGGTTCCCGGCTGATGCACATTGTTCTCATGAGTGGGTGAGAGTGGGTGAGATGGTGATGGCTTCCAGCTGACTTGCAGATTTTGCAGCTAGGCTGATGGGGTCTCCCCGCGTGGGTTCGAATCCCACAGGTGTCGACTTGTAAGGAGTGGTGAGGGTTGATGCCAAGCCGACGGAAGTTGAGTTCCAGGTGGCATGACATCTTCAGCGCAACCCGGGCTCGGTTCCCGGCTGATGCACATTGTTCTCATGAGTGGGTGAGAGTGGGTGAGATGGTGATGGCTTCCGGCTGACTTGCAGATTTTGCAGCAGGCACTTTGGCCGCGGCTAAGGCGTCGGCCTGCTAGGCCGATGGGGTCTCCCCGCGTGGGTTCGAATCCCACAGGTGTCGACTTGTAAGGAGTGGTGAGGGTTGATGCCAAGCCAACGGAAGTTGAGTTCCAGGTGGCATGACATCTTCAGCGCAACCCCGGCTGATGCACATTGTTCTCATGAGTGGGTGAGAGTGGGTGAGATGGTGAGGTGAGGGGGGGCCACAAGAACCAGAGGTTGGCAGTCACCGTCACATGACTGCCTGGACTGCAAGGCAGCTGACTTGCAGATTTTGCAGAAGACACTTTGGCCGAGCGGCTAAGGGGTCGGCCTGCTAAGCTGATGCGGTCTCCCCGCGTGGGTTTGCATCCCACAGGTGTCGACTTGTAAGGAGTGGTGAGGGTTGATGCCAAGCCAACAGAAGTTGAGTTCCAAGTGGCATGACATATTCAGCGCACGCGTCAAGCTGTCTTGCCCGGAAAGTGTGCCCAAGGGTTGTGTGTTGCCTCGTCCAATACTGTGCAGACGTCGAGACGTCTTCGCCCAAAAACGAAACGCGCGATGCAGGGTGAAAGCTTTGTAAGGGTGCAAAGGGGGCGTGAGGGCAATTAGAGGGGGGTTACCTCCGGGTTTCCGCTGCAGCTGCGAGAGTTTCCTGAGGTTTCCAAGGGGTTTCTTTGAGGGTTTCTGACAGGCGGCTGAAACGGTGCCAAAAAAATGCGGTGTGGATTGGCGTGAGAAGGTTGTGTCATGCAGCGAAGACGAAAAAGGAGTGCAAGGGGATCTGGAGCCTATATGAATCAAGTCCAAAGAATTTCCAGAGGCATCAGTGGTCTAGAAAACATCATTGCCATCGATGTGACCCGGGTTCGATTCGCGGCTGATGCACATTGTTCTCATGAGTGGGTGAGAGTGGGTGAGATGGTGAAGTGAGGGGGGGCCACAAGAACCAGAGGTTGGCAGTCACCGTCACATGACTGCCTGGACTGCAAAGCAGCTGACTTGCAGATTTTGCAGAAGACACGTTGGCCGAGCGGCTAAGGCGTCGGCCTGCTAAGCCGATGCGGTCTCCCCGCGTGGGTTTGCATCCCGCAGGTGTCGACTTGTAAGGAGTCGTGAGGGTTGATGCCAATCCAACAGAAGTTGATTTCCAGGTGGCATGACATCTTCAGCGCACGCGTCAAGCTGCCCGGAAAGTGTGCCCAAGGGTTGTGTGTTGCCTCGTCCAATACTGTGCAGACGTCGAGACGTCTTCGCCCAAAAACGAAACGCGCGATGCAGGGTGAAAGTGTTGTAAGGGCGCAAAGGGACTGTGAGGGCAATTAGAGGGGGGTTACCTCCGGGTTTCCGCTGCAGCTGCAAGGGTTTCCTGAGGTTTCCAAGGCGTTTCTTGAGGGTTTCTGACAGGCGGCTGAAGAAGGTTGTGCCGTGCAGCGAAGACAAACAAGTAGTGCAAGGGGATCTGGAGTCTATATGAATCAAGCCCAAAGAATTTCCAGAGGCATCAGTGGTCTAGTGGTAGAATACATCATTGCCATCGATGTGACCCGGGTTCGATTCACGGCTGATGCACATTGTTCTCATGAGTGGGTGAGAGTGGGTGAGATGGTGAGGTGAGGGGGGCCACAAGAACCAGAGGTTGGCAGTCACCGTCACATGACTGCCTGGACTGCAAAGCAGCTGACTTGCAGATTTTGCAGAAGACACGTTGGCCGAGCGGCTAAGGCATCGGCCTGCTAAGCCGATGGTGTCTCTTGCGTGTGTTCGAATCCCACAGGTGTCGACTTGTAAGGAGTGGTGAGGGTTGATGCCAAGCCAACGGAAGTTGAGATCCAGGTGGCATGACATCTTCAGCGCACGCGTCAAGCTGTCTTGCCCGGAAAGTGTGCCCAAGGGTTGTGTGTTGCCTCGCCCAGTACTGTGCAGACGTCCAGACGTCTGCGCCCAAAAACGAAACGCGCGATGCAGGGTGAAAGCTTTGTAAGGGCGCAAAGGGGGCGTGAGGGCAATTAGAGGGGGGTTACCTCCGGGTTTCCGCTGCAGCTGTGACGGTTTCCTTGGGTTTCCAAGGGGTTTCCTGAGGGTTCCTGACAGGCGGCTGAAACGGTGCCAAAAAAATGCGGCGTGGATTGGCGTGAGAAGGTTGTGTCATGCAGCGAAGACAAAAAAGTAGTGCATCGCTGCCATCGATGTGACCCGGGTTCGATTGTTCTCATGAGTTGGTTGTAAGTTGCTGTGCTGACGGCCAGACATTTTCGCCCAAAAACCAAACGATGCAGGTGAAAGCTTTGCATGCGTGAGGGCAATTAGAGGGGGGTTACCTCCGGGTTTCCGTTGCAGTTTCCTCGGGTTTCCAAGGGGTTTCCTGACAGTGTCTGACAGGTTGAAACGGTGCCCAAAAAATGCGGTGTGGATTGGCGTGAGGCTGTGTCATGCAGCGAAGACGAAAAAGGAGTACAAGGGGATCTGGAGCCTATATGAATCAAGTCCAAAGATTTTCCAGAGGCATCAGTGGTCTAGTGGTAGAATACATCGTTGCCATCGATGTGACCCGGGTTCGGTTTCCGGCTGATGGACATTGCTCTCATGAGTGGGTGAGAGTGGGTAAGATGGTGAGGGGAGGGGGGGCCCCACAAGAATAAGGGGTTGGCAAGCACCGGCGCATGATTGCCTGAATCCAAGTCAGCTGACTAGCTGACACTTTGGCCGAGCGGCTAAGGCGTCGGCCTGCTATCCAGCACCCCCGTTGCGCCAGTTCGTGGCAAGCTTAAATCCTTTTCAATGTTAGGTGAACATGGCAATGTTGGCGCGATGGCCCCTTCGAGCTTGTCCACGCGAAGCGTAAAATTAGTATCGAAGAACATGTGTAGAGCGACCCGGAGCAATGGTAAAGCAAAGGAAGGGCTATGTTTTTTTTTTGGTTTGGATGCTTGGTCCCTTCTGAAATTTGAAATTTGTGCTGCCAGCCATGCCATCCTCAGAAACACCTGATCAGCGGCAAAGCCGCCGGGCGGCTGTACGGGTGATTTGCCGCCTGAGCACCGCGTTACCAAGCGCGGATGTCTTGTCAAAAGATGTTGGTGCTACACTGTTGTCTGAGCGCGTGGCTCGGCTGAGAAGTGCCTTGGATGGGCAGGAACTTGAGAGCTTGGAGGAAGCTGTGCGGCAGTATGAGGAAGCCACTGGTGGAGCACTCCCTGTGCCTATGCAGCCTTTCCCCAATCGAGTCCGGGAGCCTCCTCGTCAACGTTTTCGGGTTCACGGGGCCGACGTGCAGTTGACTTTCAACGAGACGTCTTGGATCGCAGATGGTGAAGATGTTGACGCTTGGTTCCAGCAAGCAGGGGTGCGCCTGGCTGCCCGCTTCCAGGGATGTGCTCTAGAAGAATTTCCGCGCAAGTTCCAAGAGCGTGTCTTGCACACATCTTTGACCCTGGAGCAGTCTTGCCGAGCTTCTGATGGCCAGAGCAGGGTGCACTTGCACGCGCAGTTCACATTTGCCGGCAGGATTGACCGAACCGGCGTATCAGATTTCGTGTTCGATGGAGTTTATCCGCACATAGTGGCTTGGCATTGATAGCTTTGTGTGGCCACGGAACGTTTTTCTTCTTGCCTAGAGAAGTTAGAAGGCAGAAGGCCATTGCAGGGTTCCAGATGCAGGCTAAGGGGGCCAAGCCAAAACCAAAAGCAAGGGCACAAGATAAAAAACCAACCCGCAACCAAACAAGGAGGCCAGGTCAGAAGGTTAGACAAAAGCCAGGCGCCCCTGAATTCCCAGTACAGCTGCAAGATACAGCTTCCTTTGGGGCACAAGACAGCATGCGGTCACGTCACACGTCCAGGCTGTTTTGCTATGAGTCAGCTTATGCATCTTGGTTGTGAAATTGAGCCAGCCGAGGAACTGAACAAGGCAAGGGGGCCCAACGTGCAGGTGTCACGGAACAGGGCCCATTTTTACGTCTATTGCACGAAAAAGGGAACCCTATGGTCCTTCACCAACTATTGGCCGTTTGTCGATTATGAAGTCCAGCCCCATTGGCTCATCGGGTGGTGGGCTACAGGCAAATTGGACAATGAGCAGTGCAAGCTTTACCTGCTGAAGAGCAAGAAGTCTTACAGGACCTTGGTGCAAAATATTGAAGCTGTGGCACAGGCGGAACAAGCAGAGGGCTTGGAGAAGTACCGCATGTAGGTCGCAAGCATTTTGGCCACCGCTCGCTTGCCATTTCGCTCTTTCACTGACCCGTCACTTGGCCTGTTGTTTTTTTCGGGCATATGGGGGTTGCTAAATGGAGGGCGGGGAAGGATGTGGCCGATTCAGTAGGTGACAGCTCTTTGCCTTCTTGCGTCAGGATGTTTCTGCATTTGGCAACTTTCTTGGAGCAGTTCAAGTGGGCGAAGGACAGGTACCTCCTTTATGCATTGCAAGGGCCATCGCAAGCGGCCAAGACGTCCTTCGTCAAGTCATTGTTCCGGAAGCCTTTTGTTGTCACGATTCAAGGGCAAGATTCCTTGAACCTGCAGAAGTTCGTGTATGGCGGCCATGATGCTTTAATCCTTGACAACCTGGTCGATTGGAGCCTTGTGCTGAAGCACCGCGCGCTTTTGCAGTCCAATCAGGACATGCACGCACTGGGCGAGTCCGCCACGGGAATGTATGCGTACAGAGTGTATTTGTGGGCCGTACCAGTTTGCCTCACCTTGGATGCAGATGTTGACATGCGCCCCTACCATTCCTCTGATTGGCTTCAAGCCAACGTTCTGCTCGATGTCTTGCCTCAAGGGGCAAAATGCTTTGAAGACGGAGAGCGCCCTTTGATTCCCATGGCCAACGTGCCGCGCCTGTCGGCGCCAGTTTGAAACGAGCGCTCCTTGCTAATTACTTGGGGGTCGCCTAGGGTACCAAGAAGATCTAACAGTTCGAAGCCGAAAAAAAGAGTGAGTGTTTCTTCAAGCCACCAAATCCGACGAAAAAAATGCCGGCACAAGCATGGCGCCATAACAAAGCTTGTAAAAAATCATGCTGATGGCAGCATCGCAAATCATTTGCTGCCGCTGCTGCTGCTGGTGCTGCTGATGCTGGTGGTGCTGGTGCTGCTGCTGCTGCTGGTGTTTGTGGTGGTTATTATGACGTTGGTTGCTGTTGGCTGTTGTTTCTTGTTATTTGTTGTTGTTGGTTCTTGTTTGTTGCTGTCCATTGTTGCTTGTTGTTAACTGTTCTTTTGTTAGTGGTGGTTGACTGTTGCTTGTTGGTTCTTGGTTCATGTTTGTGACTATTCGTTGTTGTTGGTGGTTGTTGTTATTATTTGAAGCGAGCGTGTGAAATGCACTTTTCTCCCACGTCACCTTACCATGCCAAGTACTTCAGTGTACTTTGGCTCAAGCACGTTACTTTGGTATCAGCAGAGGTGAGAAAAGATTCCGAGTTCGTGGGACTTGTGTGACTTTCTTTAGGGTAGCTAGCCGCCTTGTTTGCTCAGTAGTGTCAGAGCCTGCTACTTTCGCAGTTTTGTTTGTTTTGTTTGTTTTGTTTGTTTTGTTTGTTTTGCTTGTTTTGTTCGTTCGTTTTGTTTGTTTTGTTTGGTTTGCTTGGTTTGTTTGGTTTGTTTGGTTTGTTTGGTTGGTTTGTTTGTTTTGTTTGTGTTTGTTTGTTTGTTTGCTTGCTTGGTTGTTTGTTTGTTTGTTTGTTAGTTTGTTTGTTGGTTGTTGTTTTTTTGTTGGTTGTTTGTTGTTTGCAGCTTGTTGTTGCTGTATGTTGTTTGTTGCTGCTGCTGCTGCTGTTGTTGTGGCTGTATGTTTTGGCCGACTGCACAGAAGAATGCGTGTGAAAAACGGAGTTCTGATCCGGAGAGCCACCCAAAAGTCGGATTCGAGTCGGTTTCGGGTTTCGGGTTTCGTGTTTCGTCGATTGAAACCAACTTTCGCTGTCGGTTTCGGGTTTCGGGTTTCGTGTTTCGTCGATTGAAACCAACTTTCGCTGTCGGTTTCGGGTTTCGGGTTTCGGGTTTCGGGTTTCGTCGATTGAAACCCACTTTCGCTGTCGGTTTCGGGTTTAGGGTTTTGCAGTTCGAAACCAACTTTAACAGTCGGTTTCGGGTTTCGGGTTTCGGGTTTCGGGTTTCGGGTTTCGATCGGCCCTGGGGAAGTTAAGTCTTCAGAGTCAGTTTCGGGTTTCGGGTTTCGGGTTTCGCTGGTCGAAGCCAACTCTGCAGACCTCTCTCCGGATCACGTCTCGAAAAACGGGCGGGGTTGAAAAGAATACGTGCTTGGGTAATTCTCGGCTGCCTTTGCCTTCCCGCGTGACCTTGCAGCCAATGAAGGACAGCAGCCGTGGTTGTGTTCATGCCGGGTTCACTTGCCCCTGTGAATGTATATACGGTTTACCTTTAGACACGAATGCTTGATTTGATGCCGGAGGGGCCATTCCTGTTTTTTTCTAGTCCGCTTGTTTTACTTTCTTATTTTTTGCTTGCTTTTGGCGTTGGTTGAAAAAGTTTAAGAAGTTCAACTTCTTCGCCCTTCTGCTTCGTCACTTTTCCGGTTCTTGTTTAATCCGCTTTTTTGCTTGTTTGTTTTTCTGCTGCTTTCTTTTTCTGTTTCTTCGGTTTTGTGAGCTTTTGTGTTTGCTTTTGTTTCTTTGTTCATTTGCTTGTGCTTCTGTGTTCTTTTGCTTCTGCTTGTCTGCAAATCTGCAGTTCTGCATGTCTGCTTTTCTGTTCTTTTGCCGCTGAATTCTATTGTGCTTCTTGTCTGCTCCTCTACTTGAGACCAGAGGTTCAACTATCAATATTCTGCCAGCTTTGTGCAAACGGCAACTAACGAAACATTATAAAATGAGAAGAACGAACGCAAGAGAAGCGAAATCCAATATCACACGGCAAAACGATGAGAATGCGACCAAACATAAAAAACACCCCATACTATAGGCATCTACCGGAAATTGCAATGCCGGCGCCCAAGTTTACATTCTCGTGACGCCTGCGTTTCGCGTTTCGTTTCGCTGGCGCAATGTGCCGTTTCTTTGGCTTAGCGCGAATATATGCACTTGGTCTCGTTTGGGCTTGCGGCGCGCCGAACTTTCCTCATTGCAACCTTACGGTTTACCTGCAGCACCCTCCCTAACTCACGTTTGCTCGTTTTTGGGTGTAGTTGGGTTTGGGTTAGGGTTGTTTGGGGCGTGTTTTGGTCTTGGTCTTTATTCAAGGCTCACTTAAATTGAATGTTTTTCAAAAAACTGTTTCTTCTAAGATTGGCAAAAGGCTTCCTTAAACATTTGTTTTAGAATTGATATGCGGTCGGCTTGGGTTTGATTGATTCTGTGTTTTGATTTTTTGGCATTGGCGTTCGTTAACATTGTTAGTTCGAAAGTTGGTGATTTTTGCAAACACTGCATTCAACCAGTTGTTCTTGCCATTTTCTTAAGTAACGCAAAAACAGAGCAGGAGGCAAGGCATTAGGGGGCTGGGACTGCGCGACACCTTCCCCCAAAAAGAAAAAACAAAAGCTGCCTCATTGTAGAACGATAGGCCCCCAAATGCGATACCCAATCATTTTGCATAATACTAACATCTGCAGTTGTTTTATAGAAAGTTGCATATATATTCATAGTGGCCAGATATGTAGTGGCCAGATATGTGGATAAACTCTTCCGGCAATGCCTTTGCGTTTTAATGTATTTTCTTGTGGAAGGGATTTTGAGGCGAAGCCAACGATGCGCCTCAGGATGCACTCTGCCTGTTTGTTCAAAAAGTAGCTCCTGGCGACAAGTAGGCCTTGTCCGTTTTTTGTGTCTGTATGGGAGGCGCTAATTTATCGTTTCCTCTTTCCCCTCCCTATCCTCACCGTTTCCGTTGTTTCTCCTTTTTTCCTCATTTTTCTTTTTTCCTCTGTTTTTTCATATTTTTCATGTTTTTCCTTTTTTCTTTTTTTCCTTTTGTTGCTTTTTATTTTTTTTCCATGTTTCCTTTTTTTCACAATTTTTGCTCTGCTTTTCTTCTTCTCTTCTTCTCTTCTTCTCTTCTCTTCTTCTCTTCTTCTCTTCTTTTCTTCTTCTCTTCTTCTCTTCCTCTCCTCTTCTCGCCTTCTCTTCTTTTCTTCTCTTCTTTTCTTCTTCTCTTCGTCTCTTCTCCTCCTCTTCTCTTCTTTTATATTTCCCTTCTTCTTTCCTCTTCCTCTTTTCTTTCCTTTTCTTTTTGCTCCAATTCTTGTTCTCTCCTCTTCCTTTTCCTCTCCTCTTTGCTTCCTCTTCATTTCCTTTGTGGTTATTTTGCCAACCCTTTTTTTTTCATTTCCAAGAATGCAAAATTGACGTGCTTCGATGGGGCGTTTGCACGAAAACAAAAAACTTTCTTGATCGCGAACATGGCGGCGGTTCGAACGTTTGGTCAGAAACAAGTGCCAAAACATTTCAAGACTTAAACTCGCGACGTGGACGGCTAGAACGGGCAGCATTTTTTCCAAATCATGTTGCGTGCAGTTTATGAAGTATACATGTGATTATCTCTTTTGCCCGGCTTCGCAAAATGTGTTTTGTGCGGGCGTGAGGGGCGAAACTCACCAGATGCCACGAGTCATGTTGTAATGGAAAACAGAATAAGGGTCAAAAACATGATGGTCAAACATGCTCCTTCACCTTGGCTTTTAACAAGCCCGCCATTGTATGCAATTTTGCCGAAGAATGCCAGGTGAAAGCAACGTGCAGCTTTCCTCCCTGCCACATTTGTTGCAAGAGACGCAGCTTCGCGTGAAACCAGTAGAACAACGTGCGAAGGCACAGCAGCCGGGAATGCACAGGGTGTACGTGGAGAGTGCGTCATTTTATGCTTAAACCACTGATGATGGAATACCAATAGCTGTCCACATGTTTCACCAATTCTCAAATTTTTGTATTGCAAAGCCGATTGTTCGGTTTCGACCCATTTTCATTGGGAGTGTATTCAACAGAAAAACGTATGCAAAAAATTGGAATCATTATCGACCAATTGCGCAACCTGTTTGCCTAAAAAAATGGGCATCCCATGCCAAATTATAGCTCGCAATACATTTTGTTGGAAAGAAACACGTTTGCAACCACAGTTCCAGGTGCGTCTATCTTTGACGATATCGCCTGATATGGAAATACCAATTGCGATCTATTCGAAGACAACACGTGACTCGGCAGTGCAAAGGAAAACCTTGAGATGGGAAGATGAATTACAGTTGAAATGTGAGGAAAAAAATCTGGCGCGGCATTCCCCCAAAACTGGTGGCAATCACCTTGAAAACGAAATTAGACGGGGCGAGCAATTGCAGATGTGTTTTCGCATTGCTGTATTGTAGGGAAATTTCTTTGGTGAATATTTAAATTTGTTTCCGCCATGCCACAACATTTCCCGCACTGAAACATGTTCAAGGTGTGAGTTTTCCGCCCTTGAAGAAGCAGTCGAAAATGGCAGCTGCAACTTGCCGTTTTTTGTGGAATTGGCACCTTGCGGTTTATATATGATATATAATATTTTCTTGCATGCATTTTGTTTGTCGGATTATCTCCTCAAGGCCATTCCCAGCGAGAATCGAAAGACGGACAAGGTCATCTTGGATCGGACCTACTATGCGACATTTTGTTTGCATTTATGCAAGCAAGGGAAATGTGCATTTTCGGTCAGTAAGTTTGACGGGCCAAACAGCACTCGGGACCGCCACCCAAGTTTGGAAAAACGTAGGACGTACGTTTTGAAATCAGGACGGATGACAAAGAGGGAGAAGAGGTGAAGAAGGAAGACCGCGTGCTACATGTCAGCATGAAAATCAGAGGTTGGACCATTGATGGGGAATCCGCCGCGCATTTTTCGACGTGATGATCATGCTGTCATTTTTTGGTT